ATTAGTCGACGCCGGTCAGGCAGCCGCCGTCCATTGGCCTCTGCTCGGGCGAACGAGCGCAGTCCTCTCTGGGAGTTGTAGTCCTCCATTGTTGTCCGCACTGCAAAAAGGAAGGGGCGGATGGGTGGATACTGGTTTGGGGTGTTTGGGATTTGGGGCGTTTTATGAAAATGACCTTGCCAAGATGACTTTCCTCTAGGTCTGAGTTCTTTTAATGCAAAAAGGGAGTCGTTTTCGGGGCTGCAGGAATTAGGAACCACAGGGTGCTGGCGTTGGAAGGTGGGGTGGCCACGCCCTGAAAGCTCCCCGCTGCGGTAGCTCTGGGGAAGACGGGGCTGCTGAGCTCAGCGAAAGCGGGAGCACCGGCCCTCGGCTCTGCTGTCTAACAACTGGCCCTTTGGTGACCCGAGACATGAACACTAAGCCGCTGCTCCCCCAGATACCTCAAGAAGGAGGGGACTGCCTTCCTGCTATTTCCTTGGGAGTTTTCTAACGATAACATTTAGAAAGAGAAACAAAATTGCAGCAAGGGCTTTACAGGATAGAGATGCAATTGTCTGGAGGGTATGTTCAAAGAATAAACGAATGGTTGAGAAAAGCTCATGTCCGGGTCTGGGAAGCCAGAAGTCTCCGTCTACGTAGGACATCTGGGCCTTAGAGCAGCGTTGGAGACTCCGTGGTTTTGTCAAACACAGAGCCATGGGGTGAGCTGCCTGCCAGAATTTCATTCTTTCCAGCCTGCCTTTCCACACTTTGAAGTCCGTGGTTTTTCAGTTCGCGGTTTTCAAGAGCCTCAGGATATAAATTTCAAAATGGGGAGAGGGTATTCACGGGAGAAAATTGGATGGGTTCAAATCAAAGTGCCACGCTTTTTCTCCCGGATTAACTCACTTGGTAGATTCTGAGCTAGATTCTGAGTGTCCCCCAGGCCAGGAGCGAGGGATACAAAAATGATTATGAATTAGCCCCTGGCCTCCAGGACCTTGCAATCGGGTGAAAAGTGGACAAAGAATAGGGTGTAGTAAGCACTATAATAGAGGACACGTGATATCAAGGTCATCATTGTTACTTCTTGGAGTCAATACACATCTCTCAGTCATAAATAAAAGAACATACAATTGTGTAAGAAGACCCCTCTACACATTTAAAATAGAATGATTTGGGGCATAATCACAATGAAAGTGGTTCTTTTGTGATAGTGGAGAGAGTTTAGAATTTAGAATCAAAGGACTGGTTTCAATTAGTCCCTACCTTATATGAGCTGTAGAAACCTAGCCACGCCATTGAACGTAGCAGAGCTTCAATTTCTCTGTAAAATCTACTTCTATTTGATAGTTGTGGTCAGAATGAAGTGAGATAGCGAATGAAAAAGGACGTTCTACATTATACACATGTCAAATTTTACTATCCTCTTCTTGCTTGTCTTAGTATGAGATAATGAAATAAATTGTTTTATCCTTTCTTCATTCCTTGAAATACCTCGGTCAGCCTTGAGAGGTTAGCAAAAAGGGTTCCCTCTGTTGGCCTAGGGATCTTTGCTTTAGGTAAACGATCTAAAATATCCATCAGGGCTATATTCTCAGGGAGGAAATGACATGACTTCCACACAAGCAAATCAAAAGGAAATGAACTTCCATTGCAGTGAGGAGTCCTCAAGCGCCACGCCTGCGGGCTGTTCTCCAAACTGCAGCCTCCGGCCACGACAGCAACTCAGTTCCATTTCCCTGAGTCAGCAACCACCAGGTCTGGGAGGCCTTGGCAGGAGCCGCTCTAGGCGCCGCCCGCAGCGAGACTCTGTGGTCGTGGTTCGGGTGTCTGCGCGGGAATGGGCGGCGGGCGGGGACGCGGCCGGGGTGGCTCCT